GCTGCCTTGGTGCAGCCACCTGCAAACTGCTGGTTGGACACCGAGCCCATGATCGTCGGCTGAGCCCGTGGCCCCGGGCCCTTGGTCAGGCGGCTGCTGGCCCCAGTGAAGTCTGGAGGCCCATTATTTGTTTTCAAGATGATTATTTCTTCATCTTTCTCCCTTTCAGTAAGACTTGAAGTTCTGCTTTGACGGTATAATTTAGTTTCTTTCCCCTAATCTTATCTAAGTGCTCCAAAGACATTTAGTCAAAGCCTATACAATAGTTAATAGCTGCCCCATTGGTTAAATAAGGTATTTTATAGATACTTCAGGCCACTTCATGGATGCCAAGTAACTTGAGTGTGTGTGGAGGAACTGAGTTGGAGGGGAGCAAGAAGATCCACAGGGTGCTTGTGGTTTTGAACCGCTGCATTTCTAAGCCCGGATCTCGAGATGCATCATGATTCCTGCCCATTGGACTGCAAGGTTTATGTAGAGAATCTTGGCAACAATGGCAGCAAGCCTGAGCTGGAATGGGCTTTCGGCTATTATGGACCACTGTGGAGTGGGTGAGTTGCTAGAAGCCCTCCTGGCTTTGCTTTCATTGAATTTGAGGATCCCCAAGATACAGAAGATGCTATCCGAGAGGTAGATGGAAGAACATGTGACTGCCGTGTCACAGTGGAACTATCCAGTGGTGAAAAAATAAGTCGAAATCGTGGCCCTCCTCCTTCTTGGGGTCGTTGCCCTCGAGATGATTATCATAGGAGGAGTCCTTTACCTCGCCACAGATCTCCACGAAGAAGTTTCTCTTGCAGCTGGCGCAGGTCTCTTTCTAGAGACAGGAGAAGAGAGAGATCACTGTCTAGGGAGAGAAATCACAAGCCGTCCCGATCCTTCTCTGGGTCTTGCAGCTGATCTAGGTCAAATGAAAGGAAATAGATCATTTTGCAGAAGAAGTGGTGTACAGGAATTAACTTCACTGACGGGAGTATGTACAGAAAATCCAAGTTTTGTTTGAGAGTTTATAAGCTTGATGCGTTTTTAAGATGTTTTTGCTGTTCACTTTTGTGTCTTGGAACAGTGACACAACAATGTAATTCTCTCTGGCTTGAGATGGATCATATGAGTCATATAATACCAAGAATTGTTACTTTACAATGTTTCCTTAAACAAAAATAAATTTGCCTTGAACTTTAGTCTTACACAGACTGAAAATAAACCTCTCAACTCTGCCTAAAGTGTGATGTTCTAATGTTACAGAAACAAAACTGGCAAAAATTGAGTAAGACCTGTTTCATAGCTGTGATAATAGTGTACAGACATGCCACTGGGCACAGATACAGGCCACACGCAAAACTAGGTGAGAGTGGTTTTAAAAATGGAACTGGTCTTTATCCTGGGCAGCGGTTTCCTGGTTGGTATAAGATCAGGAAAATTTCAAGAGTCTACCTCTGCTAGGTCACAAACGTTTCTTGTGTGATGCTGTGTATGAGTACATAGCTGTTTGGATCTTTATTTGGAAACCTGAGATATCAAAGAACCAATGTTCTGCCAGTTTAAGGGTACATTGTAGAGCTGAAGTTTTGCGTTACTGTGCAAGATTTTTTCATGCTGTCATTTGTAATATGTATTGTGAAACTCTGGGTTTAGTTTTGGCTACAAATTGTTATTTTAACTTGGAAGCTGGTTTTTCCTTGGAAACTCAAAATATAATAGCTTGATACAAAGTCCAGGTATAAATTCCTATTGGAAGCTATAATTATATTTTCTTGTAAAGTGCTTTTGAATTAATAAGACAGCTTAGGTGTAATAGTTGAAAGAAAGATACTTCAGTTTTATACTGTTTAGAATTAGTTAATACTATTTTATCATTATCTTTAACTGTATCCTAATAAAGATTATTTTGATATTTAAAAAAAAAAAAGGATGGAGTGTCACTATGTAGTACAGGGCAGCCTTAACTCACTTATGTAACCCAAGCTGGTCTTGAACTCATGGCAGCCTCCTGCCTCAGCCTCCTGAGTGCTGCAATTATAGACAAGCGCAAAGTGCCAAGTTCAATCCCTGGTACTGGGGAAAAAATTCCAATTTTAAAAATTGGTGAGAAATTTGAGTAGATATTTTTCTAGAAATACATATAAGTGATCCATAAGTATCTGAAAAAATTTCCAAAACCTTTATGTGACCAGTAAATATATATATAGATATGTACATACACACACACACACACACACACACACACACACACACACTCTTATCATTCATTAGGAAAATGTAAGTCAGACAGTGGGATACCACTTCACACATACTAGGATTGTCACAGTACAAAATTGGGGCTAGGGATATAGCTCAGATACCTCATCTGGGTACAATGTAGTCTGGGTTTGAACCCCAGCACTAACAGAATATAGGTATTAACAAAGATGTGGAGAAGTTGGAAATCTTAGGTGCTATTGGTGTGAAAGTAGAAAGATAGAGCCACTGAACAATAGTTCAGCAGTTACTCAGAAAGCTAAACAGAGTGATGTAGGCTCCAACAGTCATTCCAAGGGAGAGGCCTCAAAATATGGAAGAGATACTTGAGGATGTATATGCCAGTGTTTACAAGAACCAAAAGATGGAAACAAGTAACTATCAGCAGGTTCACCAATGGGGAAGGCGGGGGACAAAAATATTTGGCCAGTCTAACATGGATGAACCTTGAAAATATCCATTACAACCCATTAAGGACCCCTCCTCTCTCTCAGGAGCTATTTCTATTTCTCAATAAATTTTCCTACATTTATTTGTTTTTGATATTTTAGGGAAAGGTCTACAGGGTCTTCAGGGTCTTACTACTAGATCGGACTCTTAGTGATCTGCCTGTTTACAGATTCCCAAGAGCTGGGATTACAGGTGTGTGTCACCACACCCAGTCTCAGTTTTCCTACTTTTAACCTCTATTAAAAAAGAAAATTTTATCCAAAGTGAGCTGAAAGAGACACAAAAGGAT